TTTAACTGGGTTCTTTCGGTAACAAAGAAAAAGCTGAGAATTGCTGGGTTCTTTGCATTGTTACCTTTTCTAACATATCTTTGTAATAAAAGACTCAAGCCATCAATACACTGCGATCAATTATAGAGAAAAATAGCACAGATAGTGCGGGTGTTGAGTAAATAAAATGATCGCTCTATTGACGGCATGTTTGTTTTTTGCAATCCTTGTGCGCGCGCTGAATTGCATCAACAAAAGCGCGCGCGAAAACTGTGTTCGGCCACCTTATCAATTAGTTAATCATACTATCGCGCGGGTGACTGGGGACGAGGCCGGCGGAAACATACTCACTGTTTCCCGCGGGGTGTCGATTTGGCCATTTTGGTCTTAAATAGGGTATGGTTTTTGTGCTCTAATCTTGAATTGGATATGTCTTTTTGAAGACGCTACTTTTTCATCATTATCAATAACACCATAAACAAAAGCCCTTCAAAAATCATGTTTAGGGCAACTGTGTCAGCTGCAACGGTCATAAATAGGGTATCGAAGGTTTGGTCTAGACAAGTACCTCCCTCCCCCTCGGGGCAAGGCCCGACTAAAACGACGTGTCTTTTCGCATTTGATGGCTTATTTCTCCCATCTTTTCGCTTTCTTGTTTCAACTTTTTGACCTGGGTTTTGGGGCAAGTTTACATTTGCAATTGCTGAGTGATTACGAAAGCGCTTCCTGCTTAAAAACCACTTCAGGAACACATTTAGAACACCCATTTTCTCGCTGCTGCTAAGATGTGTGGAGCACATACTGTATGTGGCCCAGTTCGTCCATGGTTTATCGCACTGCTCCTTGCTTGTTTTAATTTAGGGGTTACGTGATGATCGCCTGGCAACCATGACGCGGACTAGGGCCGAGGGGTCACTCTCTTCACTTGCCGACACTTTCCACACTGCCATTGATCATCACTGTCGTGACAGCCTTGTTAAACGCCCCCTTGAGTACTGGAAATGGAATTTCAATAACATTCTCGGCATTTAATGGATAAACATTTTTTCGTGGCGAGCTCTTGTTCTTCTGTCACTCCATGTCGTAAAGGATCGGACATTGACGCGGAAAAGAATTTTTTTTTTCAGGGAGTTCTTCTGTTGTTCGCTCATTCTGAAGAAGTTCTTCTCTTCGACACCTAGGAATAAGAAGACATTGGCGAGCCTCAGTATTCTCCTCGGCCAATCACTGCTAGAAACTGTTCGTCTTTCTGTCTCTTCAATTCGGCTGTGATCCGTTCTATAGAAGGGAGAAGTCCATTTGCCTTCTTTGCAAACTTGGCATCTTCTTCCGCTTTAACCAGTCTATTCATACTTTCACTTGCGATTTTGTGTGTAGACCCTGGGCGGAAAACCAAGCCCGCACATTGAGCGGATGTCGGCTGTAGCGCTTTCACCGATAACCTCTGCTTTCTCTTTGAGAAAATAGGCGGTAAACTTGTCACCATTCCGGTGCAAACCGGGCCATTTGCTTGTAACATTGTTAAGTGCAATGTCAAAATCTTTGCTTGAAGTGCAGTCGACGAGCCCACCCTCTGTCACTTCACCCAGCACCTTGCCAAAAATGTCCGACACAATTTCGATTCTGTGGCCTCTCTTCCTGTAATTCCAAATTCGTGTAGTTTTCTTTTCAAATGGTCCGTCAGGTGAATATCGCAACGAAAATGCTTTGCGTCTTCGAAAACCTGTAACCATGTTCTCCTCCCCATCTGTCCCGTACGCCAGAACACCACTCGTTTCTGTGTTGTATTTTGTCATCAAGAGAGGCAAAGTCTTGTATGACCTAAGCAGCTTCTGTTCGTGCAGAATGCCTGGTCCTATACAGGGAAAGGGAGGGGGGGGGGGGGGTAATTTCTTTGTTTAACTGACAACTGCATGGTGTCACATGGAAAATATGTCCTATAACATGGGTAAAAAGTCTGCATACGAGCCAAGTGGCTCATCAGGTCGGAGCTTATTCCGGTTTCTGTAGCATGAAGCGACTAGAAATATTTCTACTCCCCCTGGATGGGATGCCAGTCCATCGCAGGGTTACCCCCAGCATTAAATTCGCCGGTACCCATTTGTATACCTGGGTGGAGAGAGGCACTGTGAGAGTAAAGTGTCTTGCCCAAGAACACGACATAATGTCCCCGGCCAGGGCTCGAACCGGACCGCTCGATCCGAAGTCGAGCGCACTAACCATGAGGCCACCGCGCCTCCACCCTGTAACATGGTGTCACATGAAAAACGCCCTTACCTGAACACGATCCAAACATTTCAGTAGCAAGCTTGTCCCAAGCTATGTCGAGAGGTGAAAACTGTACAGGTACCTCAAAATGAACACAGGTCATTAACATATACTAACATTTCTTTCTCTTTTATTAACTAATTTCTAAAACAATACAATACACAGAGAAACTTATTGTACCAAGCAACTGCAATTAGGACAAATTTAACAAACCCAGGAATAAAGTACTACAATTAACAGGGACAGCAAAAATCCAAAACACGAATAGAATATGCGATTTACGTTTGGAAAATCACTGACAGAGAATTTCATATCTAAGTTTTTCACCTTAACATTTTAAAGGGAGTATAACAATCACAGCATACAGTGCCACGCTGGTTTTATGAACTCATTATCACTAGCATGTTTTTAAAAATTTGTTTTGTCACACAACGGGCAAAGTTTTGTTTATACTTAATACTTCAGAAAAGCCCTTTCTAAAAGGCCGTTTAGTGTACATAAAGGAAGGTCAAGTCTGCATGCGAGCTAAGTGGCCAATCAGGCCGGCGCTTATCTCTGGTTTTTGTGTACTATAAAGTCGACATTAATTTATTCATTTCCTAGTTTAATTACTAGGGTTACTGTGAACTCTCTTAGACCAAGAATCTCCAAAAAAAAAAAAAAAATTGGCCATTGTTTTTGTTTTCAAGTTTGCCATTCGTAAACCATTTAATATTCCTCAGTCGAGATCATCCTTACTTCAATTGAGTTTAAAACTCTGCATATGAGAAAAATGACTTAAGATATCGCAACAAAGCTCCTGTAAAATTGTCCCAAGCCAGGAACAAAAGTATCTTGGTATAGATGCTGCCTCGTCCCCAAGTGTCCCTTCTTGATCAAAACGCGGTGCGCGTAGAGTTCTGGGCCTGTTGCCATCAGGCACTGAGCAAGTCACCGGTAAGGGGCCTGGAGACGAGGCAGGTAGAGTTGTCTGGTGGAAAAATAATTTCGTGAGTGATGCTTATCAAGAGATTTATTCTCATGCAGACAAAACAACTAGGTAAAAAATATCTTTTAGTTAATTAAGACAGACCCAAGCTGCGAGGCAAATAAATGTATTTGGAAAGCCGTTGGATGGGGTCCTGTTACAAAATGGAACAATTATTTTGCTAGTTAAACTTCTATAGGTGCTCTAAAATCCACAACAAATTTACTACAAAGCGAACTTTTTCTTTAGAAAGACTTTAGTGTGGAATAAGAATGAAACTAACAAGTCTTTCAGACACAGAGTTATTCAAAAACCTCTCATTTGATGACTCAAATCCCATCTGTTTGGTTCCTGTGCATCTGGGAGTAACATAACTTACAGAATTCGGCTCGTTTCTCACGTGATGTGTCTTCAATCTCGAGTAACATGAATTGTAAATCGTTCGCGAGGTTCACAGTATGTAACAGCCACATACATGTAGCTCAGATTATTTTGCACATGAACTCATCTAATTTTTCAAGGAAACAACTGAAGTGGCAATTTTAGGAGCGAAAAATATGTAAACTATGCTTTGCATTCATAGTCCACAACTTAAGAAGGAGAGCAGAGTAAGTCACGTGACTCCCAGATGCATAAAGTCTACTGGAATGAGCTGTCATACAAAAGGGAGTAATGCCCTACATGGGTGGGGTGGGGATGTTGGGGATTTGAATTTTTCCGAAAGTGTGGTACAAAACCATAACTAAATGTATAAACAAACTATCTTGAGCTTAAAATCTCTACATTGGCAGCAAAGTGTCATCACGGTCATCATCTGCTAGAGCATCATCCATTGTCTATGGAGAATAAAAATATATATATCAATATTACAGTAGCAAAAAAATGAAAGAGACTTCTACAAGACACTCGCAGATGACTTATCTTTTTTGTTATAAATCAGAGAGTCAACATAAGCCTTGGTCTGAAAGATTTTCACAGGATTTAACATTTAGTTCAAAGTGCATTTCTTGTGGATAGCATAATTCAATGTTAATTCCATACAGGTGAAACTTAGACGTATGTTTTAGCAAGCCAAGAAAAGGAAATATAAGTTTCTGAGTCTCACTTCTGTACCTAGGGGAGGGTCCCAAGGGGAAACTTCCTTTCAACCCCCCTCCCCGCCACACACACACCCCCTTTTCTACCCCTACCCCCACCCAAGTGCTTCGTTCAGTTTTTCAGTTTTACGCAAGAAAAATCCTTTCTGTTGTCCTGATGGCTTGTTAGCATCCACCCTAAAATACCCCTGCATGAAGACAGGCCCTGTGAGAGTTAAGGTATGTTGCCCAAGAGCAAAAAAACAATCAGATCCAGAGTCTATAACCTGCTAACCATTAGGTCATTGTCCTTCTGTCTTTAGTGCAAGTGAACTTGTGAAGCTGTACATTGGCTAAGAAGCTGATAATTCTGTGCCCACTCACCTTGTATCTTGTTGGATGGGACTCAGAACACCGACACATGAAGTTGCATCCATCCTGAAGAACAAGAATAATAATGCTTCTTAACTTGTTTGAATTTTTGATTTCGGACTTTACATGTGTTAGCTGAAATTAACCTTGTTTGTTGCTTTAATCAGGCGGTGCGTAATTTTATGCAGAGCATACATGCTGTGCAATTTTATACATGTATATGATGTCTCTTACAGTAATCAGCATGATAAATAACATTTTGTATAATAAATCGTACATGAACTTAAAGCAATGTATGAAAGAAGACTTACAGCTTGCAGACTCCCAAAGTTCGACCAAAAAGTATAGTTAGGGATTTGCTCCAATCCTTTAGCACCAACTACATATCTTTGGTACAAAAAGCCAAGTGATAAATAAACTGAACCTGTGACAATCAGTCTGCAAAGAAAGAGGGCCATGCACAGGGGTCAGTTTCATTGAAGCAATGTAGCTGTCTCAGCTAAATGACGACAATAAAACAATGGAACTGATAGAACTGATACAAAAGGCCAAAGCATACACTACAGCTGACCAATGGCTTCTAAACAATACAGTGGTTATGCCACCGGTACATGAGGATACAGCCTATTGTGTTCTTTAAGGAGGCTGAACACAGTTTTCAAGTGCCTATGCCTAATTCACCATTATAGTACTTTTAAACTATTTATGCTTTGGCACCCATTTTTTGCAAGAGTCAAGGTTAACCACAGAAGGGTTTATCCTTGCATTTTGGCTAAGGTGTGTGCTGTTGCCATGGCAATAGGGCTGCTCAAAATCAAGGCTTAAAAAATGTTTTTTGTTTATTTAAAAAAAATCCAGTCGTTAGATTTTTTTCCTCATTTGCCCACTAGGAATTGACATTAAATCCTTTCTGTCAACACTGTTCTAATAAAATTTTGACATAGACGATTTTCGTAATTTGCCATAAATCATTTTCACTGCATGTTCTGTACTATTAAAAAGTCCCTATGTCAAAATTCAGATTTTTTTTGATAGATCATTCACATGGTTTCTAAACTATTTTTTTGCCAAATTTCTTAAAATTCTAATGGCTAGGTTGTTAGAAATCGGTAAGTTTCTGCAAAAGCAATCCATCTCAATTTTTTTGTGCAACTGTGCATGCACTGCATGTAACTGGGTTCTTTCAGTAACAAAGAAAAAGCTGAGAATTGCTGGGTTCTTTGCATCGTTAGCTTTTCTAACATATCTTTGCAATAAAAGACTAAAGCCATCAATACACTGCGTTCAATAATAGAGAAAAATAGCACAGATAGTGTGGGTGTTGAGTAAAT